TACATATTATAAAAGAAATGAAATCGGAGAGATCGACCTGGGATACCTGTTAGGAGCCAAAGGGTTAACGAGAACAACACCCAAGGCCAATAAATGAAACAACTCACCAAGGCAATGAGGGGTGGCGCGCTCCTCGGACTTGAGCAGACAGGGGAATCCTTTGGTGGTATTAAAATAGAAGTGCTTCTCGCAGATGACCCTTTTCAGGCCCAGGAAGTCCTGCACCCGAGTGACCTCGACGACTGGGTCGGCGATCAGTCGTTCCCCGGAGACGAAGAGGAGCTGCGACAAGGGGAAGTACTGGAGCCAGTGCTCCAGGTGTCTGGCGTAGACGCCAATCCTGAGAGGAGCCCAGGTGGTGTCCACGACTTTGGACCCGTTCAGGAAGGCCAGGTCCTCGAAGCGAGGCATCGTGACGCGCTTACTCTTCACCTGGGTGTAGTCGGAGATAGCCCTGGTCACCGGGTCCCTGACCACGACTATCAGTTTCGTTCCAGGGTTCATGTGTTGGACCCTTCTGGGAGCTTCTGTCGTCACAAAGTACGACGGCGTCTTCTCCATTGTTACTTGACCCTCCAACGTGGGAGGCATGCGGTGTCTGCAGAAAGAAGAGGATGTTAAGTCCCTACCTAACATTTTATATTAAGTAACATTAAGGTGAAGTGAAACCCCCTTCAAATTAGTCGATTCGAATGCAACACTTTTTTTTTAACACTAGGTTTACGGGCGTTTTATATATACCTGTTTCTACGAGCACCCGTCAAATTGACGGGTAAACGAAAACACGGATTTTCTTTAAAAAATCGATTTATTCAAATTAAGTCTGAATTAAACGACACTAGGCTTTACGTTTAAATGAATGATTAATAAGTGAAAAGTCCTTTTTTAAAAATTATCACGGAAATGATTGGAATGCTCGTCCTCTCATCCTCGGAGTCGGAACTAGAAAGAATGCGCATCCTTTTCTTGCTACGACACCCTTTCAAGAAGTTTTCCTCTTCACTATCCGAAGATCCTTCTATTTCTCCACTTTCAATGCAAACTTTCACTCTCATCTTCGCCTTACACTCCCTGCAACGAAGCAAATATATATGGATTGTTTATGAAATTAGCTAGTCCGTCAATTTGACGGGTTTCGTAGAGATAGGTATACTACATACAGATTTTAATAATTAGAAGGCTTAGGAAAAAATAATTGTGTGTACAAATTCTTTGGATGAAATGATTAATTTACGATACAAAAATGGTTAAAATTAATGCTACGGTTTTTTCGGTATTTCTTTTCGAAGTTTGAATTCCGTCAAATTGACGGGTCCCGTAAACCTAGTGTTAAACACGTCGAGAAACTTGATCGACGTCGATAAAGAAGATTTTCCTAAATACCTACGTTGCCGACATTGGTTTTTATATTGACAGCCGTGTCGAATTATATTGAGTACTGCACTAAATGGCATACTCTACTTGTCGTTTCCGTACATTAATTATAAATAAATCGAAGTAAAACTCCAGAAATCCTCTGGATTCGTGCTTTCTGAGGCCCTAATTGACTGCAGAGAGCCATCTGTGATTTCCAGGTCAATTAAATTTTGCAAATATTTCAAATGTCTGGTAAATATTTACAAAATGTACGATATTCATTAAATATATAGAAAATATAGGACAGATATTATATGCTACTAGGGTTACATACGTTCAATAAACATTTATATACGATTAATTTACGGATATTCCACGTTCAGCGGTGCGTGGGCAAGAGCTAACATAGGATCTGGGCTTCTATGGGAATTCTGAACTCTTTGACAATACTAATTACCTGTACCAGTGGAACCCTTTCGCGTAGTGGTGATCAAAAAAGTGAACTTCGGATCCTGCAGCTCTGATGTCGGGATGGAGCCTCAAAAATTCAAGAAGAGCCCTCGTGCCTCCTTTCTTCACGCCTATTATCAGCGCACTGGGCAATTGTCTGCTGGGCACCAAACCCTGCTGCCTTAAGATCTTGTACTTTGGAGAAGCATCGACGGTGTCCTTTAAAGAGTCGTTGCTGGTCCAGAGCGGCACCACCTGAACCTTCGCCACCTTCGCGTCCGGATTTCCTCCCACACTATCCAGCGGGATCTCCTCCACTTTGGCGACTTCCTTATCAACGGCACCAGCACTTTCCGACGAGGACATCTTCATCCTCTGCAGAGCCATCCTCCTGGAGATCCCCAGCAGACAGGAGTTGTCGTTCAGCAGGATCCACAGCACCGCCAGGAAGAAGCAACCTATGACGAAGGTCTTCTTCGTCCAGAGACTGGTCCTCAGCTCCATTGTATCTCTCCTATTGTTTCCGACTGCGGAAATGACCAGGAACTTGCATTGTTGTTCCTGATGCTGATGAGTCCTTCATTTTAGGGAGATGTCCGGTTTTCGGGATTTCGTTCTCCACCAGGACTCGAGCATCCTCTTCGACCTCGTCCTTTGCCGCACTTAAGTAAGACTATGTCAAGTTTCTAAAATCCATTTACGAATCGGTGAAGAGAATCGGTTGATGATGAAGAGTCTGTCTCATGGCCGACTTTGAGCTGAATTTGTTAGGGTTTCGAAGACCTATTTGTCTTGAGTGGGTAATGAGAAAGGGTTAATGATGAAGGACTCTTCCTTCTCCACGTGTTCCTCTTCGAGTTCATTTCACCTGAATCTGCTCCTTGGGCTTGCGAAATTCCGAGGAACTTGCATTTTACTTCCAGAAGTTCACTTTCTTCCTACTATCCACATGTCCGACTTCGCCATTTAATCTGCAATTTAAATAATATTTGTTATTATCAAAGTAACAATGGTGTTGCTACATGGAGGACTCTTTAAATTGAAAAAAATTATAGTACCAGTGTAATAGTTCTTCACCTTAAGAAGGGGTTTTCCACAATTAACGGTGAATTTCGTTAATAAAAAGAATTCTGTCGAGTCTACGTTGTTATATTTTCAACGTACAGTAATACATCACGAAGAAACCAAATTGATAAAATTTTCTAATTACATTTTTGCAGTAACTTTTTGCAATTGTTTACGTTTTTTAAATTTTTTATTTCACCATGTGAATAACCCTTATTAAGAGAATTATCTTTTATTGGAAACATTTTGCCGTATCTCTCATCGTTTGCGAGAAATAAAATGAAAACTAAAAGTCGAATAATTTTTAGGGGATGATTTCACCCCTTTGAAATGATTTTCTGCCGGAAAAAAAAATTGTTTGTAACTCATTTAGGCACGCTTTAAATATCCCCCAAGTTTCAACATTTTTTGAATTTCCGGGTTGAGGAACTTCCCTTGTTAGTTATTTTGTATTAGGGCATGTCACATCAGCTTTACGTGTCGTGCCATTTTTTTAGCCTTACGCGCGTCAGGTTAAATAAAAAACTATTTCATATAAAATACGAAGGTATTATGTACTACTTTAGTTACTCACAATTGTTGGCTATTTTTGGATTTAGTTTACAATTATTTACTACTTTTAAGAAGTAGTCTAACCGATGAAAAAATGGTTTTCACGGTTGCAACTCTTTTTTAAGAAAGTTCATGTATTCTCTTCAATAATACTTACACTAAAAAGAGACATTTTGACATAATAAAAATGCATGATGGATTTTTATACACATGTTAATTCAAATTACTGAACGTCTCGTGATTTATGATACTATAATCATCGTAACTCTTATTGCTTGCCGAAATACATCAAAAATGGATTATGTAAGTTTATCACATTCCCATTGTTACGACGCCATATTGGATGTATATAAATAGAATTATAAATCAACTTTCTTTCGGCAGTGAAAAATGTATTAGTGGCAATAATTAAAATCGAGAAGATTATATATTCAGGATAATAATTTATAGTAACGTTATTTCGTTAATTATGGAGAATGTGATGTTTATTGCTTACGAGACGCAATACAGAATGAACGAAAGCAATTGATATTCCTATGTGCAACAATATTGATCAAACAATCGTAATAGATATAAACCACGCGTAATCCCTAGTAGTACAGAACAATTTCTATATATTTGTTTGTCATCTTTGCTAAATATCTCAAGCGACAGATATAATAAAAATACATTTCTTTTATATGACGACTATTATCGGACATTTCATTAGGTATCAAAAAACACGAGAAATTTTTCTAATATTTTCGTTCCGCTATTTCATTATAGGAGCAGAACGTGTGATTTTAATTTTAAATACTTTTAAAACGTTTATAATGTATTCGGCAGATAATATTTAAAAAATACTTGTATTAAAATGAAACGAAATGTTTTGTATATCTGGTAGAAAAATATTATGAAAACACATGGAGCTAATATCATATAAATATTATAGGGATAATATTCTAAAGTAAACGTTTTGCAAATATTTTAAATGTCTGCTAAATATTTACAAAATGTACGGTATTCATTAAATATATAGAAAATATAGGACAAATATTTTGTGCTACTAGGGCAAAGTGTGTACACAATATTCTTTCCTCATGCTAAGCAGTACATACTGTATATAATGTACCAAGAGGGTGATTCAACCTTGATTTAAAAATAGTAATTACCAAAATGTGAAGACAATTTTCCTTCCTCATGCTAAGCAGTACATACGGTATATAATGTACCAAGAGGGTGATTCAACCTTGATTTAAAAATAGTAATTACCAAAGTGTGAACACAATTTTCTTTCCTCATGCTAAGCAATACCTACGGTTATGAAATATGCATAACTTCGATTTTTAGGTGTTGCAATATTTTAAGTAGCAGTATTTTTGCCCGTATTTACCTATTATCATAACCGGATGCTGCGACGTCCACTCGAGCACTCCATAGTTTTCTTCCGAAGAGAAAATGGCGGCTCTCTGGAAATTTCTCGAGTTCCTTGAAGCCCAGATCTCCCGTAGAGAAATTCACCAAATATATTCCGACAGGGCAAGAACTCGATGAGAATCCCTACCCGGGAATTCCTCGGAGCCGGCAGCACCCGCTATCACCGCGAAATCGATATCACGCCTTGGATGCACCTTTTTACAGCACTAAGCCTCGAATTTTCAAGGAAAGAAATGGACGGTTTCGACGGTCTTCCGTCCAGCTTTTATTCTCTCCGAAGAATCGTTCACATTTTTAGGAAAGGATGCCGACTCGTCCGGGAGGTTAATTCGCCGTCGCGGTGCTTTAACTTATCAATTCTTTACGGAGGTGGATAACGGCTACGCGCAGACGCGCACCAAGATGGCGGCGCAGACGCCGCTAACACGTGCTGCGATCGAAATCAAGGGTAATAATGAAACAGCTTATTATAACACAACTGTTCCCCGGAAGAGTTAGTCCTGAGTGACCAAAATTAGAAGAAATAATTGAATTAAATCTTCTCTTGGTTCTTGTCCGAGATAACTACATTTTTATTTAAAAAAGAAATTTCACGAGTAGCGCGTTATTCTTTACGGCCTCCATAATCACGTGTTAAAGTTTCAGATAATTCGGTGCACCCAGTTTGGATAAAAGTTTTATAAATATTTTGACTTTTTCTTATGTATATATCACACTTTCATATCACCTTAAAGTGATAAGAGTCAGCCTATATATATCTGAGAAGTCAAATCGTTGGAGAAAGTATTCTCCGAATTGGATGTACCGATTCGTTTCAAATTGTACCACGGGAATATGGAGGCCCTAAAGTAGATCCTGAAACTCATGAAATTTCGTTCTTCATAAAATATTTATTTTTTCTAAAGTAAATGTTTTGTAGATATTTCAAATGTCTACTAGACACTTAGAAAATGTACGATTATTCTATAAGTATATAGAAAATATGAGACAAATGTTTTGTGCTGCTAGGGTAGCGATTACCTTGTGATTTCAAAATAATCCACCAGAGGGCATTTTAATACCTTCTTTCTCGCTAGTGCTGGAGTATGGCCCGCTTCGTATATATATAAGAACTGAAAAAAATACTTACGGGCCTTCGGGAAACGGTCGGCGCGTGGTGCCTTGCGCAGGCAAATGCCGTCGTTGATACCTAACCTAACCAGTTGAGACAAAGATCAGTGGGTTGTTAGTCGCTTTGTTCCACGTTAACAAAAATCGAAGGACACTCGTTGGCCCTTTTTGTTTAAACATTTTAGAGTTTTATCCTTTGAGAATTACGTTTTCATGCCAACGGCATGACTTTCGGCATTACACTTTCTATATTTTTACGAATTTTATTTGGGGTTTGTTTAGACGGAAGTGACGCATATGTCGCTGTTCGTTTCGCGAGTGCATATACACCAAGTTTACACTTTCTCTACACTTTCTACCCTCGATCCCGAGCGAGTGCAAAAAGTGTAGTCCGCGAATTTGGCGGCAAATTTCAAAATTGAAAAGACCAACAGGAGAATACAAATTTTATGCTAACATCTCAACGTAATATAAATAGAAGTAATTATTAATGCATCTTCTTCGTGTATAGAACGATTTAGCGTTTTAGTTTTGTACGTAATGTTTGAAACAATTTACAATAATTATGTATTACTACCTAATCGCGGTTGGAATGAACTAAACTATAATTTTTCCCTGTTGTAGTTAAATTGTTTTTCATTCTACTGCATATAATATTCTGACCCTTATTGATCCTCAATACCTGAAATACGTGAAAGAAATTTTCATCTTCTACAACTACAAGGTAATAGAACGAATTGTAGGATTTGAAGAAAACGAAGACAGCTCAAGAAGGAAAGCTGGAGGAAGCATTACATTTTCGTATTCATCATCGCCCGATGCAGATAACCTCAAAATCGCGGACCGCTCTACTAAATCGGTCGTCTTGGACTTTCGTGAGGTTTCTGGCGTTCGGAATGTCGACGAAAGTATATATACCCTTCTGCACTTTTCAAGAAAAGTGTAGTACCCTCATTACCCTCGAGTGTAAAAAGTGCAGTCAACGCGAACAAACCTAAAGTGTAGTCCGCGAATTTGGCGGCAAATTTCAAAATTGAAAAGTCCAACAAACAGGAAAATACAAAGTTTGTCCCAAGATCTCAACGTAATATAAATAGAAATAGTGATCAATACATTTTCTTCGTGTATAGAACGATTTAGCGTTTTAATTTTGTACGTAATCTTTGAGAAATTGTACAATCATCATTTATTACAAATTATGTATTGATTTGCAATTTATTTCTTTACAATTATTATGTATTACTGCATCATATATTGTTACTATCGTCAGCATTTGCTAGAAGATGTAATGGAGGAAGCATTACATCTTTATTTTCATCATCATCTTCATCTGTCTAAAGCGGCCATCTTGTACTTTCTTG